TAGGGTTTAAGGGTTTCGGGTTTAGGCTGTGAAGGATTTGGGGCCCAAAAGGGGTCCTTTGAAGGGTACTACTGTAAGGGTTCAGGGTTTAGGGTTTAGGGTTTAGGGTTTAGGGTTCAGGGTTTAGGGTTCACCATACAAATTCTTGTTTTGCTTCTAGAAGGCTTAGGGTTTAGATCCTCATCGCTTGTGTGGGATGCGCCCGTCGAGAACGCCCTCGCAGTCACCCTAAACCCTAAACCCTAAACCCCAAATCCTAAACACCAAAACCCGAACCCTAAACCCTAAACCCTAAACCCGAAACCCTACACCCTAAACCCTAAACCCTAAACCCGAAACCCGAAACCCTAAACCCTAAACCCTAAACCCGGCGGCCCTAAGTTTAAACTCTGCATGCTGCGCATGGACGGAGCTTTGAAGTCAAGCTTTGCTTCCTTCGGTTTGGGGGTTTAGGGGTTTAGGGTTTAGGGTTTAGGCTTGAGGATTGGATCTTATGGCTTTCCGCTTTGTTTCCTTCGTTTTGAGCCCCAGCCTCCGTGCTCAGGCAGCCCATCTACCAGCCGCAAAACATCGTGCTGGGTGCCAGGCGACCGGCGGGCCCGAAACTGTGATAATCCATCTGCCCCCATCCCGGACGAGTGCTGTAGTGCTCCCCTGTTGCGCTAGTCAAGGGTTATGTAGCGGCTTTATGAGACTATATACGGGTTATATAGGGTATTTGGATTAGGGGTCCCTTCTAGGGGTCCCTCCTATTGTCCCTCAAGCTAGTGACTAACCCGGGTGGGCGTGTTTCGGATCCCGCTCTAGGCCCTAAGCCCTAAACCCTACAAACCTGAACTTTGTCATCGTTGGGTAACGTTTTGCATTTTTACGGATACTTAAACCCAACAAGGACAAGAAATGGAAGCTTCAATTTTTAACGACTATCCCGGCCATGGACTAGTGAAGGGAGGCGAGAAAAGTCATCCAGCTTTGAGGCCAAAAGGCAAGGAAGTCCAGGGTACGGTGGATCAACAGTACCAGTCTGCATGCTGGTTACAGGGTTGAGCAGGCTTTAACAGGCTCTACCAAGGTCAGAAAAGAAGCCTGAATAGTTAGTAGAACTCGTCGTTAGGGTCCCCCCCGTTTTAGACATGCTATCATAACACCACAAATCCCTCGTCCAATCATGACGGCTCCCATGTACTAAGCAGCAAGAGCTAGTAGCCAAACTTGGCCGCAACATCAGAATCTGAAATCCATAACCAGACGAGAGCCCTTCGCCCTCGAAACAAGATCGGCGCTTTTGGAAAAGTTGGGGGGGAGGGAGGGACACCTACTCCAACCCAACCACACAGTTCTAAACCCTAAACCCTCCCTAAAACC